ATATATATATATATATATATATATATCCAGAAGATAACTTCATAATTCATTGTACTTTCATTTATTCTATAGGCATATAAAGGAAAAATCTACCATTTGTCATAATATGATAGATATATCCAGATAATAGGAGCTCTGGTGTCGCAGTGCCTAAAGCATTGGAGTGTTAACCAGAAGGCTGGTGGTTCAAAACTACCAGCCACTCCTCAGAAGAATGGTTGGGCAATCTACTTTCGTAGTGATACTGTCTTGGAAACCTCTATGAGTTGGATCCAACTTGATGGCAGTGCCTTACGTTTGCATTTATCCAGATAATGGAATGGTATTTAGCAATAAAAGGAACAAACTGCTGATACATGCTACAATATGAATGAACTTTAAAATATTATGTTAAGGGAAATGCAAGTGCAAAAGATTGATTTCATTTATTCTTAAATGTCTAGAGAAAGCAATTTATAGAGACAGAAAGCAGCTAAGTACCAGGGGATGGAGGTAGGAAAGAGTACTGACTACAGACGAGTGTGAGGAATGTTTCTGAAGTGATAAATGCCTTAGGTGCCATGCTACCAGAGCTCCCATAAATTCAGTAGTCTACACAATTCCCTGCGCTTCGGAGCAGTTGACTTCCCCCCAATTCTCTCCAGTCCTCTGGCTTAGGTTACAAGCTAGAAAGCCTCTATCCTTCACTGACTGCCTGTGCAGATGTTCCCTGACCATCAGTCACCCAGAATTGAGTATACCCAGATCAGCACTTTCTTGCCACTTCTGCTGGCTCATTGCCCCTTGAAATTTCATTAATTCTCTAGAATCGTTCACAAAAGTCATGGAATCTGTCACCTATACTCATGGGGCCCTAGTGGTGTAGTGGTTAAGCACTTGGCTGCTCCACCAGGTGCTCCACTGGAGAAAGTTGTGGCAATTTGCTTCAGTAAAGATTATTGCCTTGGAACCCTATGGGGCAGTTCTACTCTGTCCTACAGGGTTGCTGTGAGTCAACAACGCAATGGCATACATCAACAAATTACCTGTACTTCTAGTTGCCCATTTGCTGTACCGAGAAAGGTACAAGCAAAGATGTGCATCAGGCAAGGTCTGGGAGAAGTTATAGCCATGGTTTCCATTGTCTCCAAGGACAGCCCTCACCCTCTCCCTTGCATAGATATTCTCACCAATCCTGCAAACCTCAAAAGGAAGAAGTTCCCAGGCCCAGGGTCTTTTAGTCATTGGAACAGCATGCACACGCATGACTATTACCTTAATGCATAGTTACAATTGATCTAATTAATGAATATGCATGACTGACTACATCATACCCCCAACCTTCCTGAGGCCTATTATCAGGGAGGGGTATGTGTAGCCCTCAACATATTTACACATGTTTAAGCAGCCTAAGGAGCCCTGGTGGCACGTGTTAAAATCTTGGCTGCTAACCCAAAGGTCCAAGGGTTGAACCCAACCAATGATCTGCCTCATAAAGATTACAGCCTTGAAAACCCTAAAGGGTAATTCTACTCTGTCACATGAAGTCACTATGAGTTTAAATCAACTTTACAATAAATAACAACAATGAGCTATTGGCTATTTTTAGAAAGACAACTATTTTCAGAAACCATATTCAAAAGACCACAACCATCAAAGAAGTTATGTTTTTATTTTTCAAAAATTCCAAAAACAAATGTGCATGTGTTTGCCTACAACTAAGTTTAGTGAAGAGATGTCTGACAAATGCTCAACACTAGGCCACAAATAACAGCAGCCTATAGGAAAAAACTATCTGAAATCTGAATACAGTGAACTTCCAGGATCATATATTTACACTGCCTTTTATAAATCAATAATAATGAGCACTTTCCTTTGCCATTCATACATTGAATTATCCCCATCACATCCAAAATGAATGACAATGAAGGGACCAATAGAATCTCTTAATGCCATGACCAGGAAGGAAGCCCAAATCAAAACCTATCCCACTGCCATCAAGTTGATTCCAACTCTTAGTGACCCTTTAGGACAGAGTAGAACTGCACCATAGGGTTTCCAAGGCTGTAAATCTTTACAGGAAACTTCTTTATCTTTCCCCCACAGAGCAGCTGGTAGGTTCAGATTTTGACCTTTTGGTAGCAGCCAAATGCTCTTCAGGGATTAAGAAAGGAAGAAAATCTCGTCTCTGAGTTTTTCCCTAATCTCATATGAAGGACTTCCATCCCTAGTCTTACCTGAAGCATCGTTAGTGATGACCCCCCCATCCATCGCTCCACATCTGAGATGAGCTTGCTCAGCCCTTCATGCTGCTGCTCCAGCTGGTACTTGGCTGCTGCCAGGTTATCCAGAACATTCACTTCTTCTTTCTCCAGCTTTTGCAGCTCCCTTTCCTTATCATTGTCCAGGATGTCATGCAAGTCCTTAAACGTTGCCAGAATCCTTTGTCTCTCAGCCTGTGTCTGATGCTTCAGAAATAGGGGAGAAAAAAGAGGCACTCAGTCTGGCTGAAGACCTACTTTGCAAGATGCTTAGAGTCAGGATACGATAATTTTCTTCAGGGAGTTCTTACAAGGAGGGGAGGTGATAGCCAGAGAACAACTCTAAGGAAGCTGTTTTTTCCCTACTATTTTCTCCTGCGCTTCTTCCAAAGCAACGTCCCCCAGTCTGCTTTATCAAGGCACACTCAGAGCCAACAGATAATACCGGGGTGAGACTTGAAATGCAGATAGTTATCCTGGACACTCATTTATGTATTAAACTGCTCCTTCCCAACCCCTATGTTAGGTCTTAAAGCAGGGAATCCTGTGCCTTTGCCCAAAATCTTTCCTGCAAATAACAGAGCCTCAAACCTAATGACCAGAATGGGACATAGGACTCATAAGCCATTTTCACAATGGCTTCCCTCAAAGATTTCACCCTTAAATATTTGATTTCACTTGTGATATATCTACTCTATAACCTCCGCCCCCAACAGGAAAGGGATGAAATACTAATCAGTTTCTGTACTCATTAACTCTGAAATAGCAAAGAAGGTGCCTTCTTGTGACTAGAACTGAAATGCTGCTCAAATTCATGTCTCAGAACTCCCTAGAGAAGACTCTCTGCCTGCCTTCCAAGAATTTTTCTCTTCTGTGATGTGAGCTTCCAACGTCTCAGCTTCCTGCTGCTCCTTCCTCAGCCTCCTGAGAGTCTTCTGGAGCTTCTCCTGTGAGAACAGAATCACACCAGAGCTTTCTCAGCACCGAAACAGAGGATACACTGGTGCAGAAATCAGGCTGATCTCAGATAGACTAGAGTTTACAGAAATGGTGAGACTGGCAATTAGAATCTATGACTTAGACAAAAATCCTCCACTCAGGAATGAAGAATGGATGCATTCTTTATTCCTGAGTGGAGGAAGTCACCATCCCTCATCAAGGGTAGGCTAATTTTCCACTGAATTTTTGGTAATGGTGGTGGGATGACTTGGAAAAGGATAACAAGTATGGTGGCACACCTTGAGGAACGTAATCAAAGTCATTGAATTGTATATGTAGAAATTGTTGATATGGAAAATATTTTGTTATGAATATTTTCAAAATAACAATAAAAAAAATAAAAACCAAACTCACTGCCATTGAGTCAATTAGACTCATAGCGACCCCTCCTTGGGTTTCTGAGGTGTATCTCTACGTCTCTACGGAAGTAGATTGCACAATCTAAGAGTAGCCTGATTTTCTTTTGTCCTAGAGGAAGAACCAATCCTGCCCCCAAAAATTCCTTCTTCTCATTGACTTTCCCCCACACTTGACCAAATATGCTCCCTAGCAGTTTAGCTGCTCGGAATGGCAATAAGAGCTTATCTTGGTAAACAGTTCACTCATCCAACAAAATAAAACAAATTTCTCTTTTCTTGGCCAAGACTCTGTGGTCTAAGCTTATTCTTTATGTAAATGGATGGAATGCACAGAAATAGCCTCCAGGCCTTGGAAGCTAAGCATAGAGTATGAGAAGCTACCCCAGGGCTTAGTTCTATGGTGAAAAGATGAGTAAAGTAGAAGAGAAAAGTGCAGATTTCTGAATGCCACCTTCTTCCCTTTCTTTCTCTACCCTGAGCCCTACCTGACATTCTTTGGTCACCTCTTCAACAAGGAGTGTTTGGTGACCATGGTGTTCTTGAGATCGCACACAAAGACAGCAAATGATCTTCTCATCATTTTTACAGAAGAACAGGAGTTTTTCTCCATGGTGCACACAGAGATCATTCATTTGCTCCTTCTGTGAGCTCAACTTGACCTCCCTGAATCTCTTCACTATGTTGGCCAGATGCTGATTAGGCCATAGGTTTCCAGGCTGGTAGGGGGTATGGCACACAGGGCAGCTTCTTTTTCCTCCTGGGCTGATGGTCAATGACTCCACATTCTTCTCAGTGATGCAGGCTTGGCAGAAGCTATGGCCACAGAGTAGGCTCAGAGGTTCTGTCAGGAGCTCCAGGCAGATGGGACAGGTCACATCCTTCTGGATGTTTGTCTGTAATGAAGCCATAGCACTGTTTTCCTAGCCTTTCTCAGTCCTGGCTCCTGAGTTTCTTCTTGCTCACAGACACCTGCAGGCCTGGGAACATTAAAGCAAGTACGGTGAAGAAGGCATATCTAGAAAGGATACTGACTGTGCAGAGATTTAAGACAAGACAAAACAATATCTAAGAAAGAAACATAAGAAAGAGATGAGAAGAGTAGGTCAGTGGCAAATAAAAGGGCTTGTAGTAGTGCCAAACACTTTACTCTCAGTTTATGTCATATGACAAGTTCTACCCTTATCAGGTCAATGATTGTTATTTTTCTTTTTTCTTCACTGACAGGACAAACTGAGGCCCCACAAATCAAGAGCCTGAGTAAGCAGTCTTTTCTTCCTCATCCCAAAATAACATACATTATGTTAAAGACACTAAACCTATCACTACCCAGGACTTTTGCACTTGTTCTTCTCTCTGCATGAAATGATCTGACGCCTGATATATGTACAACTCAGTACTTTTGAAAGAGCTTTGCTGAATTATAATTCACATACCAGCATATGCACTCATTTTGAATGTACAATTTAAATAGTAAATTTATGGAGCTGTATAACTATTAACAAAATTCAACTGCAAAACATTTCTATCAACAGAACACAAAAGTAGTGCCAATTATCAGTTCACTCCCCACTCTGACCTCTAGCTTCAGACAACCATTAATTTCCTTTACATTTTTATAGATTTAGATTTTATAGAATTTCTGACCAATTCATAAAAATCGAATCATATTTTGAGATCTTTTGTGGCTGATTTCTTTCACTTAGCATACTATTTCTGAGGTTCATCTTTCCTATCTTTTTTTGCCACACGAAAAAATATCCTCTGGGTCAAAAGCACCAAACCCATTACTGCCTATGGGTTTTTGCCTTTGCTTTTCTCGCTTCATGGAATGATCCACTCCCTGATACTTGTAAGAGTTATGCTTATGGGGAGTTCCGGCAAGATGGCGGACTAGGCAGAAGGATTGCACAGACCCTCTTCAACAAAGAAAAGGGAAACCAATTAACACAGACACAGAAGATAATCG